TTTTTAGGAGGGGTATAACTAAGCTATCCTTCCAAACAATCGGGAAAACTCCAGAGCTCTGGGACTTATTAATAATCAAGTAGAGCGGGGTTGCCAGCGCACTCGCACATTTAACGACAAAAATAGCCGGTCTCCCATCAGAACCAGCTCCTTTCTTTATATCAAGTCTTTTTAACACTCTGTAGACATGATTTTTGGTAACAGATAATGTCGATAAAAAGTTTGAAACAGTGGGTACACAAAGCTCATCTTTACTTGGAATATTTGATGAAGTGTTATAAACTGAAGAGAATTGTGATACGAAAAGGTCACATATATCGGGTCCTTTGGTAGCAATTCGGTCCGTGGCAGTCATTAAACCTGGAAAAGTGCTATTACCTTTTCTTTTGTGTTTAAGAAATGTCCAAAAATATTTAGGGTTAGATGTCAAAGAAGATTCTAAGCACTGCAAATATCTGTAGTAATTCAAGTTATATAGTTTACAACTCCTCTCTTTGAGTAATTCAAAAGTTATTAAGTCACGTGGGTTATCATATTTACGAAATTTTTGCCTAAATTTAAACTTTTCCTTCAATACCCTAATTAATGTAGTTGAGAACCATATGGGATACTTGTGATTGCGCTGCGTTCTTTTGGGTACGTGCTTTGCGATTATTGACCTAAGATGTTTATAGAAGACCGTAACCATATCATCTACAGTAGAGCATTTAAACAGTTCCTCGTTCCAAGAGATATTATTCAGTTCATTTACGGTATTAAGATAATCTGCTTTATGGAAATGATATCTGGGCACAGAGATTGAGGGCAGCTTTTCTTGGTATCCAGATGAAATGGACCTAGCGGAGGATGCGAAGGGTCGATGATTGAGAGAGGAGTCGCACATATACTAATTTGAGAGATTGTAACAGTACTAAGTATTAAGTCCAAGATCTTGTTTTTGTTGTTTAAGATACAATTATATTGAGAAAAATCGTTTAACGACATAAAATCTGTCAACATATTGTACATGAAACTATTGGACATTACAGGTATGACCGTACCATCCTCCGCTTTATTCCAAGATAGACTGTTCAAGTTAAAGTCACCGACAATTATGGTATTACTCCAGTGTTTTTCTAAAATGCGGTTAGAATTATGTATAAAATGTTCTAAAATATGTTTTTGAACGGGAGGGGGAATATAAATACCACATATATAAAAGTTTTCGATATTACCTTTCTTGTTCCGCAACTCTAGTTGAATCCAAATATCCTCGCAGTCAGACTCATAAGCAACCATACGGATTGATTTGAAACGTTTTGAGACCGCGATCAATACGCCTCCTCCGTTTTTTTTTACTGTGGAACCCGCTGCTTTCACGGTCGCGCCTATAGACTACATATCGACTATCGAATAATTCATTATCAGAAATACTATTATTCAGCCATGTCTCTGTAAAAACTATTATATCAAAACCATTACAAACAGCATTATTAAAAAGATCTAAAGTTTTTGTTCTTAAGCCTCTTACATTTTGATAGTAGATTGTGAGCGTGCCCTCAAGTAAAAAAATAAATAAATATTATGACAAATGTTTAAGCATTTCCATATTTTTGACGTGGATGAAGTTCGATTCTTCATTCTTCCGCATGTAGATCCTCCCGTCACGTACCCAGACAAATTTGAAATTCAGTTCTCTTGCTTTGCTACGAGCGGAAGCGTGTAGAGATTTGATCGCAGGAGTAAGGTGTTCTACTACAAAAACAGCCTTCTTATCGCCGCATATCCCCAAGTGGCTAGTCTTTGATTTATCATCCGGGTTGTTTTTATTAAATTTACTGGCAGCTGCTAGGAATTCGTCTCGTAGTCGGGGGCTGCTAAGTTTAACTAAAATAGAGCGTGGGCGAGAGGAGCCATTATTCATCTTAGCCAGTCTGGTACAATAATGAAAATGGGCATCGTTAACAGGACACTTAATAACTTTACCCAGTTGCTGCACCATATTAACAAGATTTTCCTGCTTATTTTCGGGGACACATTGGATTTCGATATTTTTGGAATGTGAGTATTGGTCCAGCTGCTCAAGTCGTGCTGAAAGAGATTGCACGATGGATTTTAGCGTGTTATTTTCAGTATGCAAGTGTTCTAATTTTGAAGCCTGTGTGGCATGCTCAACTTTCAACGTTTCAAGTTCACTATTAAAAAGTGATATTGTAGCTTGGAGGTTGGACACGGCGTTAGCCACTTCCAGAAGCTGTGGGTTAATTTCTTGCTTAAAAATCCTAAGCTCTTCGCGAATTACGTCGCGAATGCGCTAGCAGTTAAAGTGGGCGCATTAGAAACAGTTCGCTGCTTAGTGCGCTGAGTGACAAACTCGGGCTGGGACGAAAAAGCACCACGAACTGGAGTGTTCGTTTTATAGCCGCCTTTGCGTTCCTTGCTGCAACACGAAACCCATATCCACTTTGCTTTGAATTCTTCAGTAAGGGCATTGTATTCTTTCTGATTTAAGTTTATGCACAACAAGTGATAATGCTCCTTACAGCTTGTACAATACATTGAAGGTACGTCCGTTAACTCATTGAGACAGGCGGCACATTTGTCGGCGGTATTCATCGTTTTTTTTCAAAATGTATGAGACGAATACAATTTAAAATGATACGGTTAGACACTAGGAATTCTTTCCGTCCAAAACGTCGTAAGCGCCGTGCGAATCGCGTCGCTTACGTGTTTAAGTAAACGACTTTATATGACACTTAAACGCTTTTGGACTTATTAAAAGAGACTTAGAATAAATGATAATTTTTGTTTAAAACTCTAATAAAACACTATAAATTTTAATTTATCACCACACTGCAGTTAATGTACATCGAGTTCACAACTTTTCACTGTTTTTTATCTACAAATTCAAATAAATTTGAAATTAAAAACTGGGCGCAGAGTTAGTGTTGTTGTCGTGAGGACGTCGGGTTGTTAATCCAACATATTAGCCTTAGTATAAATAGATCGAAAGGATCTCTTAACGTCACACTCTGAAACTGGTGCAAAAGAGAAAGGTGTACACTTGGGTAGAGACTGTGGAAGAAGACGATTAAGGGTGATAGACTTAATGGTGTCATCCAATATGACAGGAGAGCGAGAAAAGTGTGTATTTAGTGCATCAAGATCAATTATCATGGGTTCATAATGAGAGGATTTTCCCACACCAAGTGACTTTAAAAATTTCCAAACCTGATTATTTGATGAATTTTTAATATTTCTGTGAATGTGACGTCTTTTCGCATCCCTACACAAACGATTGCAGCGATTTCGTAGATGTTTGTATGCTGTTAAATTATTTTCAGAGGGTTGCTTCCTTAGGCGTCGCTTGGCCTTGTCTCTTTTGGACAAAACTTTTTTTTATTTCAGCCGTCAACCAAGGAGCCGGCAACCTCTTAGCCCTAACACATTTTACTGGAGCATGTTGATCATAAAGGGCTCTGAGTGTTTTATTGAAATAATCAATCTTTTCGTCAATTGAGTTGGAAAGATAAGCGTCCGACCAATCAGCACGAGTCGCATCATCATGCAAGCGCTCCACGTCAATGCCCTTGAAGTTGCGAAGATAAAGTAATTTTGGTTTGGGTTTAGGAGGACGTATGTTATAGGAGAGATATATAAGGTCATGATAGGAAAAAGAAGCGGAGAGTTGTCCATGAGTGACGACCATATTAGGGTTAGAGACTAGGATCAGATCCAGTAAAGAGGGGTTAGTGTATTGGGGGGCGTGATGCGTGGCAGATAAGGGAAGAATATGCATATTGAGCGAATCAACTAGGGAAAGGAGCCGTTGAGCACGGTAATCAGATTTTAAAAGGCAAGTATTGAAATCACCAAGGATAATGGTATGTTGGTACAGAGGAGAAAGTAATTCCATCTTGTATTCGAAAGGAGAAAAGTAGTCGATGTGAGAATTAGGGCTATAGAATACTCCTAAAAGTAGCTTGATGTGCTGTAAGGTAACTTCGACAAACAAATGCTCAGCAGAGTGTGAGTAACAACTAGGCAAAGTGTCCAGTATTTTACAAGGGATGTCAGCTCTTAGATACATGGCAACACCACCGCCGCCCTTCTCCGTTCAATCATTGCGAATTAAGCGGTATCCAGGTATAGGGTACTGAGTAGATGCAAGAGAGGGCTTGAGGAAAGTTTCGGAAATGAGTATCGCATCGACCACAGAAGAGTCAAAGGAGGACTGAAGATCAGAATAGTGTGCCGGGACACTCTGGGCATTAATATGTACTATATTGAGATAATTTCTGTTCACGCTAAGCCGCAATTTTAAGAGATCACAAAGCTGAACAGAAGAATCAGAAAAGGCGCTGGCAAATTCCTCATCCGATGCGCAAGACGATGAACAGGAGAAAAAAGAGTCATTGAAGTCGTGCATTATATTTATAAAATATAATGTTATAAATAAATGAAAAAAATATATATGTATATGTAAATATAAATATCTATATGTGAAAAAAAAATAAAAAAATATTTAATTATAAAAGAAATACCTAATAAATTTATAGATAACTCAATAAATCAAAACTGTATAAAATAATGAGTTCCAATCGGACCCTAATTGCACCTCACCATTAAAATAACATTCAGTCACACAAACTCAGCAAAAAGATATATACATTAAAAACAACATGGTAAAATAATTCTGGCCATTGGACACAGATGAGAAGCAGAGAAAAAAAAAAAAGAAAAAAAAAAGAAATAAAAAAGGAATACACAAGACGTAAAATTCAGGTAAAATTTGGCAACACGAGAATGACATGGATGACAGATGACAACAATACAATGTCAGATACCTGATAACAACTTGGTCGTCGAAAAATGTCAAGTCAAAAAGTGTAATTTTGTAAGGTGATTCTAGATATTTCAACAAAAAAAATCAGATTGTTATTTATTTGAAATGACATCAAGATAATTTCATTAAAAGTGCTAAACCAACCAAGTTCGTGAGCCAGGCACAACATTGTTTACTTTGAAACTGTTTTCGGTTTTGTGCATTTTCGGACCGATCGAGGTTGGTCTTGAGTTGTCGGCTCTTTAGAAGGAGTACGTACAGGCTCGGACTGCGATGATGTACCAGCACGGGCAGTTGGCGCACTCACAACCTGCTGCACATTATGTGGCGTTGAGTAGCGCTGGATCAGCTCCTCAAGCTCGGACATGCGCTCGATCCTACGACGAGATTTGTTTGGCAGGAGGACAACAATGCGGCCCTCTGAAGTCCAGCAATCCTTCACGCCAAAGTGTATGCGAGCACGCTTGAAGACTTCGTGGCGCGACTTAGTCAAGAATTCGGATAAAGTAACACCGGATCCCTTGAGACAAGTCTTATTCTCCCACACCTCACTACACTTCTTATAGGCTTGGAAGCGAACCAAGATAGGTCGTGGTCTACTGGAGTCCTTCCCCATTCGATGACAAGAGGATATGTCTGCTTCAGAAAATTCAGGCAACTTCTTTTGGTTTGTTAATGCTTCAATAACAGAAGCTGCAAGAGACCCTTTTTCCTTTTCTGGGATACCGTGAATTAGTAGTATTTTTCTACGTGACGCAGTCTCATGTCTATCAAGCCCCAAAAGAAGTAAATCTACTTGCTGTTTCAGCATATTAAGATTGCTCCAGACTTGTTGCCTGAACTCTGAGAACTCACGTGCAAGGATCTGGAGGTTACTTTGGGACAGGCTGGCGTCAATTTTCTTTTGGAAGCGTTCCATGTCACTATTAAAGAGAGCACTTAGCTTGGAGAGCTCCCCGTAAATTTCCATCTTGCTATTGTTATTAGTAGTGACTGAGGAGATAGTGAAGAGGAAAAATATATTTCTGAGGTGTAACCAAGGTCAGCAATAAACTATTTACACATTAATTAGTTAACCAATACAATGATTTTTAATTGTTTAGATTAAATTTAATTATTATTACAGTATATTGAATTTATACAGAAAAAAATAAATTCTAAACGACTAAAGCTGTATTGAACGCAGAACTCACGGGATAGCCATCATATGGCGTCCCACCCTAATTAGTATTTCTCTCTAAGTAGAAAATTAAAGCGTCGCGTCGGTCACCCGTCATTAAGCAGTCGGACCCGATTCTTAGTTCAACATTCAGCATTCAACATTCAGATCACTTAGTTTTGCATAGAGTAGCGTCTGTTCCTGGTTCGCAGCGCACGTAGACACGAAGCAAATTTTACATCTGTTATAGTCCAAGAAATATCCGTATACGTGTATAAGTTAAGTTTTAAAAATGTGCTGTATAGAAGCAATATTATATAAAGAAGCAAATTTATAGAAGCCATTTTTCGCAATCACTAGACTTTTCACGCAGTTATTCATAGGTTATTTTTAGGGCCAGTAATTTAAATTGCCTTCCTTTCCGCCGATTGCCCTTAATTCTATCACTCAATAATTCCAGCGGTACTCTATTATGCTCCGCCACTTCATTAATTTCAACCGAATCCACCAATCACATCTGATTGCGTCCGCAAATTTCATAGTAGTCTCGTTGCGGTTAAAACCTCAATAACCCAAAAAGACGCGGACTGAATGTAATAAAAAAGTAATATCCATAGGAAAGAGAGGCATAAAGGCTTTTTTTATGTGTAGCTACTTCGTTTAATTTTATAAACGTTTTAATAATATCGCTTCAAACGGCTCTTCCTATTATATTCATATTTCTAACCTGGTTATGACTTTTTTATGTGTAAGTTCTCTATATCTGAATTCTAACGTCTAGGCAGTTTTTACTCGTTCGCTATTTTGTAGGTATACAATGTGTACGTTTCAGTGGCTTCGTCATTTTTTGTGCTATTTTGTCAAAAATCTATTTATAGATCTGAATTGCTTAAATTACTGTTGCCTCATGTGTAATTTAAGATTTATTAAAATATTAACTCATAATCAATACATATAATAAAATGTATCTGATCGTTGTCTATACTTGGGATATTTTTGATCAAAACTATTATTGGGAGCCTTTATCGACGCAACAGAACTCAAAACAATGATTGTTAAAATTTGTCTGTTTGTCTGTGCGTTTGTGCTGATGTGCTGCTGTGTGTGATTTCGGTGAATTGGACTAAAATATGGTTAACTATATATTATGGTGTGTAAAATTATGATGATTGTAAGTTTATATAAAGTTAGAAAAATCGGCCAAGTGCGAGTCGGACTCGCGCAATGTAGTACATGCGGGTGAATTCGCGGGCGAATAGTCGGCAATATGTTTAATCGTGTTTAAATTTGTTTTTGAATTTCGGCTTTTACAACACTGGAGCATGAACAGTGTCTTGCGAAGGTTATATGCAATAACAAATAGTTTTCCTAGTGAAAATAATTACATAAATTCACTTATACTCGAATTAAGGTTTTAAACATTTCTTGGAATTTTAAGTGAAATCGTAACATTTCATTGCTAAACTTTAAATTTAATTTTTAAAATAGTGTATCTGCAACCTATTGTTGCTAGGGTTGTTGCATATGTCCATTGGCGGTGGTTATAACTTATCATCAAGTAAACCGTTAGCTCGCTTGCCACTTTCACACATAAAAATAAAACCGGAACGCGGAAGTATGACAGTTCCACTTTACGCCAGTCTACTGTGGCAGGTCGTGGTACTTACACGGATGGACCTGCCCATTAGGGCAACAGCGAACACTATTGTGGTCCTACCACAGATAAAATAAGTCTATGTAATTATCTCCACGAAGAACATTAATATTAAAACCGCAGAGCTGTTTGATCGACTTCAAACGGAATTTATGGATGAAGGACCTTCGAAAGAAACGGTCTACCGTTAACATAACGAATTCAAACGCGGTTATCTAAACTTTGGGGGATGGACAAAGGAGTGGTCGTCCTTCCACTGTTACCGAAGAAAGTGTGCTGACAGTGAAAAAATCAAGAAAACATGCGAATTGCATACGAAGAGATTCAGAATTCATTGCAGGTTGGCTCTGGAAGCGTTCACCAAATTCTACTAAAGCACCTTGAACGTCAGGAGGATGGTCGCTCAGAAGTAGGCCCGCGTGTAATTGTGCCGTGAGATGATTAGTTTTGAAGCAAGTTGGTTTCGGCACGTTTACGACACTGTGAAAGATGACAAATCCCGGATTATCAACACGATACAGAAACAAGTAGCTGTTCAAAACGACGAGGCCTTCTCGCGACCGAGAAGCGCAGGCAAAATGTTAATCAAAATCAAAATCATTTATTCATCGACATAAGAAACATACATTCCATCTATCGATAGTCATCATACTTTTTAATCTACCACCGTTTCGTAATGAGGTTCCTCTAACTGAGAACAAACAGGCGAAAGAAACTCCGCAGGTGTCCTCTTTTTTGTAATTTTTTTTTTCTTAAGAAAATATTAAAATGTTATACAACAGTTTGATCGCTAGTTGCTTCACTACGGAGTATCTTGTCGATTCTATTTCCAAATAGTATACTACAAAATGCTTTCCAGAAGTTTTTATTGTAATGAGTATCAAGCCGACCAAACACCGTGATCTGGCCGGGTACTGCTTCACCATGACAACGCACTCGCATACTGGTTTGGTTCAGACGTTTGACAATTTGTATGGAGGCTTGTTGACAGTTCTTTGAAAAGGTTTGGTGAAAATATCTTACCAATAGAAGTCAGTGCGTAGTTAGTAATTGTTTCTTTAAACTTTGTTATTTAATAATAATAGGACACCTTTCCACACAAAGTTCTCTAGTCCCAAATTAAGCAACGCTTGTACTATGGGTACTAGATAACTGATACTTAAATATACTTTTCTTTTGTAAATAAATACACATTATACATATATAAACACCCAGAAACTTGAAAAATACAATGTTCATTAGACAATATTTTTCCAGTTATGGGGATCGAACGCACACCCTCTGGGGCAGGAGGCAGGTACACTACCCACTACGCCATTCGGATCGTCATCTTAAAACTTTATGAGTGCCTCACGTATTTTTCAAGTGAATTATTATTTTGTTCATCGTTTATTCACTCCGAAGCCAGTGTAAGATTTCAAATGATCATGATAATCCGATAACCCAGAGTCGGTAATTAGTTAACTTTAACCTCCATCCAAGTCAATTTCATTTCATCTAATTGAAAAAGTTCTGAAAACCAAGTAAACAAAGCCCGGTACTCACATCAAAAGATTTAACAAATGGCAGCTGCTAGCGACAGAGAAATAACATTCCGCGTAATTAACTTTACGTTTGATATCTGTACGATACTTTTATCACATTTCATTCAGTTTCATGCAGTGTCGAAACGATGGTTTTAAGATATGACATTTTAATAATTCCAAACATTATAGATAAATAATACATTAAAAAATGATGAATGGTCAATGATATTATTCATGTCATTCACACTACCAATTTAAAATTGAATGACATCAAGAACAGGCCGCCTTTAAAATGTAAAGGAACCGTTTAGAGAAGATAAAAACCTTAAAATAAATTTAAATATAGTTGTGGACCGGACAGACGTTGTCCTGTACACACGACTTAAATCCGACAACAAATTAAAAACAAATGAAATCCTAAACCATTCATGAATCGAGGCAGCCGTTTAGGAGGAGTTCAGTGAGATACACACGTACAGAATGATTATATATATAGCCTATATATGTCCCACCACTGGACAAAGGCCTCCTCTATACCCCTGCCGATTGGCGGACTTCACATGTCTTCGAAAAATATTTTTTTTGTTATTATTTCGAAAATATGCGGGTTTCCTCACGATGTTTTCCTTCACCGCGGAGCACGTGATAAGTCAGCACATAAAACTTTAAAAACTTCATTGATGCCGGCACCGGGGATTGAACTCAGGTTTCTCGAGTATATTGAATTAAAGGCGAGCGCCCGGACACTGAGCTATCACGGCTCTTATTATGTTATATATGTGATTTTTAAAAACAGCGACTGTAGAGTTTCTCAACAGAAACTGCTTTTTTAACCGGTGGTAATTAACTTACGAACTTGTGTATTAATTTTTATGTAAAATTCGACGATTCGACGAAATATTTAACATATAAGGCAACAATGTCCTTTATTTGTTTTACTATATTGTACATAGTACATATAATATGTATAGGATCATAATCCTATATTGTAGTATACTGTATATCCCAATAATGATCCCCTCCAATAATGTGTGAGTAATGAAGCGTGGTCCGGCCAAGTGATGTGCTTGGCCTCATTTTCCTTTGAGGAAAATTATTTTTATTCGTGTTGAGTTACTTCCTATGTGGTACTTACCAGTTCCACATAAAATTGCAATCATACCAAGTATATGCTATTGAAAACAAACAAAAAGATAGTTTTAGCATAGGCAAATAGTAATAGTAAAGAAAAATAAGCCTTTTCGAATATAAAACTATTTTATCTTTTTGAGGATTTGAACCGTAAACTGAAAAGCACTAAATTTAGATTTCTAATGTTACCTTCTAGATCAAAACGAGCATAGTAATCATTCAAGTTACAACCGGCCGTAAATAGCGGTATCCAAATGAATTACCGCACCTTCGGAAAAGGTAAATCTAATACGATATTTGTTTTACCTTCATTATTTTGTCCCTATCTGACTTTGGTAGGTTAATACAATCAGCCGGTACCAGTCAGTGATGTACATCACTTTACTCTTTGTACATTAAGAAGTAAATAAAACCGGCCAAGTGCGAAATGTACTCGCGTACGACGGGTTCCGTGCCATTATGTGTAAAAACGGCAAAAATAATGTCTGGAGCCCCATTTATATATTTATTTATTCTGTTTTTAGTATTTATTGTTGTAACGGCAACAGAAATACATCACTGATTTCAATTGTCTAACTATCACGGTTCATGAGATACAGCCTGGTGACAGACAGGCAGCGAAATCTCAGTAATAGGGTCCCGTTTTACCCTTTGGATACGGAATCAAAAAAACGATAATTGCTTTGTAGCTGTGGTGGTCAATGGTCAATATGTAGTGAGTGTTTCGGAAGCTAGCGGCACGCACTAGTCAGACTTTTTTGATGAACTACATATAATTAACTACATGTAAAAAAGCAATATCTCAACAAAATCAAAATTCTGTTTCACACACGTTTGGATAACGCGGCCTAAGTAATGTAACAGCCTATCTCTACTCTCTCTACTCCTGTGCAAAGGCCCCCTCTGTACAGAGGGTATTAGGACATAGTCCACCATGAAGCCCCACTGCGGATTGGCGGACTTCACATATCTTCGAAATATTTTGTTTTTATTACCATTTCGAAAATATGCAGGTTTACTCACGATGTCTTCCTTTAACGCTGTGTACGTGATAAGTCAGCACTTAAAATTGATAACTTCATTAGTGCCGGCACCTCGAGTTGCTCGAGCATTTTGAATTAAAAGCGAGCGTCCGAACAGTTGCCGGACACTGGCAATGAAGGTTGTTAAGATGGCTTAACTCCAGTTCTCATGCTATGCCCATCAAAAATGCTTTTGTAGTCATCCCCTTTTGTATAATAGCTGCACTGGCGCACCTGTCTTTTTATTGTAGTTCAATTTTATCTATCCAAGACTATTATGATCATTTCTATACAAATTTATACAAGTTGCCTTTGTTTAATACGACGGAAGTGATATGACATGGAAGTGATGTATATTTAATTCTTTCAACCTCAAATTTGAGTATACCCAACATACTGTGAAACTGTCGTTCCGCTGTTGCGTAAGTACTACGGCCTTAAAAAAAAAAGAGACGTGAAAAGGAAGTATGATACTTTTATGTTCGTATGGTGAGTGATATAAACAGGACCCAAAGTGTCAAATTTTTTATTGTGTGCGTCCTTTTTTTGGTAAATAAATGGATTTTCTTTCTTTATTTCTTCTTTCTTTCAAAGTTTTTAAGGCAACCCATCTGCAACCCTACAGGTGGTATAGGTGTCCATGGGTGGCGGTAAGCACTTAACATCAAATAAACCGTAGGCTCACTTGTCAAAGTTCCACAAAAAAAAATGTAAAATTTAGCAAAATTAGTGTACTACCTACAACATATACAGTTGTATACAGTTATATACAGTTTTCATCGGTTACATGTCACAAGTTTATATTATAGATTGCTGAAACACCTAAGTTATCATTAACCATCAACTCTGTGTTAAAAGATCAATCGGCTTATACCGGCTATATCGGCTTATATATTTATTACTCTTTGATCAAGTAGTAAAAAGTGGATTCTAACTCTTTTGCAGGATCAAAGGAAAGTAACCAAGTATCAAAGTCAAACTGTTCGTCTTCACGGAAACTGCGTGGAATAATAAATCAAACGGTTTGGTCGTTGTTGTTTGATATATTACGCGAGTTTCCGATTCGAGAAACGAGTGTGAAATCTTGTAATTGTAACACATAAGGTGATTATAATGTCTTCGTAGAATTTCGTTGTTGTGTTTGGAAATTATTATGTATTTTTTATTTATTCAAAAGAGGGGGTAACTGAAACCCGTGGTTCGCCTAGTGGCAAATGGAAACTAATACTTAATGAAATATACAAGAAGAGCATGAGAAAACGTAAAAGTATGAAATTTATAGTGGACTTCTTCGAGGCCGAAACTTTCCTTATTTTATGTTTTTTTTTTTTAATGTGAGACTAGCTGCTGCCCGCGACAACGTCTGCGTAGAATATAGGCTGAAGGCGTAACATTCAGACGGAAAGACAGATTTACATAAAAATATGTATATAAATTATAGCCTATGTCTTATTCTAGTGTATAAGCTATATTATTGTAAAGTTACATTAAAATCCATTCAGTAGTATTTGTGTGAAAGAGTAACAAACATCCATCTATACATACAAACTTTCGCCTTTATAATATTAGTAAGGATAGTAGCAAATGAGCTGGCGATTCACCTGATCTTAAGTGATTACTGCCGTCCATGGACATTTGTAACACCTGTAGGGTTGCAGATGCGTTGCCATCTTTTAATAAAGTGGGCCCCGGCTACCTCACTTACCAGACGAAACGCAGAAGTGTAACACTTCTACTTCACGCTGGTCTTCTTGGGCCGTGGATAACCATGACGGACCTACCCATTCGTGCAACAGCGAACAATTGCATGCTCTACCAAAGAATATTGTTTGAAATAAAACAGTTTTAATGTATCTCTTATATCAAACAATTCCGACACTGCCTTGAATAATCGAGACTGTCGTGCCATTATAATAACGTTTAACCCAGAAGATGCATGTTCGCAATGCAAAGCAGAAAACGATTTTGAAGATTTATCTATAAAACTCACATTTATCATTTACAACGATTTTGAAGGATGGTCAACTTTTATGGAAAATTTATTTCTAACTTAAGTACGTTTAGTCAGCTATATAAAACTTATAAATAAAAATATGCTTGTACGCAAGTAAGTTTCACGTTATTTAGCATAACAAAATAAAAATAAAACTAGAAATATATTAGCCCCTGTGCCGGTACTCTTTGTTTGTAAAAAAGACATTAAAAATTGATAACGGCTTATTAAAAAACTTAGAATTATAGGTAAACTAGCAACCAGCCTCTGGTGCAATGTATTATATATATATATATATATATATATATATATATATATATATATATATAAACCTTCCTTGTGAATCACTCTATCTAGTAAAAAAAACCGCATGAAGATCCGTTGCGTAGTTTTGAAGATCTAAGCATACATAGGGACAGACAGAAAGCGGGACGACTTTGTTTTATACTATATAGTGACGTCGAAACGTTTTAATTAGTTGCCATGGTGAGACCGTGAAGTTGACCGCTTTACAACAAACTTCATCATGTCGTTTTTGGCAGTCAGTGTGCGCGTGTATCGTAAAAATTTTACCATCGTAATTTTTCCAAACGCATTGTTTCCAAATGTAGTTTGGACGTGGGATAGAAAACACTGTGATTTTTTTTTTAAATTAAGC